GAAAAAAAAAAAAAAAAAGAAAGAAAGAAAGAAAAGCAGAAAATGAGAAAAACAGCAGGCAGGCAAGGAAGGAAAGGAAGGAGGAGGAGAAAAGGAGATAAGGCCTCTAACAGTGAAAACAGGCTATAAAGTCCCATTAAGATCAGGCTTTGTTTACTCCAACTTTACAAACAATTCTAGCAAGCTCAGACATGGTTTCTTTGCAGATAACAGCACATCCAGGAAAAGCACATGTAAGGACATATTTATTACCAGGAGTGGGGACACTGACAGCAATGTGCAGTGCCAGCTGGGAGCAAGAGCAGGCAAAGAAAATCTGTATTAAGCTGTGGTAACAACTCTGAAAATTACAGTAGTTTGGAAATACTTGACATGGGCAATAATCCTAATAGCATGAACTCATCTCTTCCCTCCTTCCTTTTTTTTTTTTTTTTTTGGTTTTTTGAGACAGGATCTTGCTATATAGTTCAGGCTGGCCTTGAACTTTCTATGTAGCCCAGGCTGACGCTGAACTTGTGTGAACCTCCTGCCTCAGCCTCCCAAGTGCTGGGATTACAGGCAGGTGCCACTACACCCAGCAAATAAAGCAAGCTCATCCTACAAATGTCATTTTAGTATAAAGAGACATCACAATGCTGCTGAATCATTCACTGAGGACAAAATAAACTATGCTGTATGCTCTTTTGAAGAAGGAGGGAAGGGCTGTATTGGTTTTAGGAGTATTTTCAAACAAGATGGCATATATTTTAAATGTTTTGGAAATCAAAGGCGTACATTCTAGCCAACAGGGAAGTTAATCTTTGAAGGATCATTCCAAGTTTAAAGGTGGTATCACTGCAGGGAGAGCAGATGCCAATGCCGAGCCCAGGCTGTGGGGTAGACGGAGTGGAGCCCCGGGGTGTGCACAAAGAAGCTGCTTGCCAGGTGAGCTTTGTGGGGACCAAGTGCCCAAACTGCAACCCAAACCCACTTATTTATCTTCAAGTGCCAGCACTGCAATTAAAACTGAATGCTGAGGTTTTAGTTTAGAAAAAACGACTCATACACATGGCTCGTTTGCTGACAGAGAGGGTTCTGTGTGTCATGTGTACCATAGGTAGACCCTGGAGTCAGGATGTTTCCTAACTCTAGCCTTCCAAATCCTGAGGTGAACACCTGAAATAACCAAGAACACCAGGGGAACCTCAGGTTTAGCCTGGGGACAGCTGCCCTTTCTCCCAGTAATGAGTGATCTCACCCAGGAACAAGACAACCCACTCTAGAGGCCATTGTTGCCTTGGCTTGTTTTGATTAAACAAGGCAGCCTTGACAGGTGACTCCAAAGACTGGCGTGGGTACTCAGGCAGGCTCAGATCCTCCCAAACACTCCTGCTTGTCAGGAAGGAAGAAAACAAAGCTCCAGGGTGAGACAGTCCTTGGTCAGAAGTCAGGAGGGAAGTATTAGGATCCATCTATGAGATACTTTTAGTCTATTGCTTCATTTGTTGGCTTTTGCTCTAGAATTTTATAGAATTTGATACCTAAAAGAAGAAGATTCAGTGAAGACCTTATGGTTTTAATTGTGGATTTGGCTCCTTACCAGCTGTGTGGCCTTCAATAAGTTGCACTGCCTGTCTGGGCCTCAATTTCCTCATCTGCAAAATGGCAGTAATCATGAAAGTAATTAAATAACGTACCTGCCTGACGGGATTGTTGGAAAGATGAAATAAAATGATCTATATAAAGCACCTAACATGGTATCTGGCACACAGAACATACTCAACAGGTGATAGTTATAAAAATTTACCTATTAAGGTTGCTCTGCTAGGAAGAAATGGAATCTCTCAGAACACAGGATTCGAGTTCTCCTGTCAAAGGAAACCCCGCCTGGCCACACTGCCTCCTTTACGATGGCCGACTTTAGCCACCCAGTCGCAGTGTTTCACCCATTTTGTCCCGAAGTATACCAAAGAGCTGAAGTTCTATAAGGGCATCGGCAAGGGTCTCACCGAATCAGCCCACTGGCTCGGGAGCTCATTCTCTCCCGCGTAGGGCATCCAGGCCTGGCTCCTGTAGGACGAAGGAGGCGTCGGGATGAAGTAGCCAGTGAAGCCAGGTCTGTTGGCTGCTGGGATGGCGAACACCGCTGGCACCGTGTTACCTGGTGTGACAGAGATGGGTGGGAGGTCAGAAGAGGCCGGGATCGAGGCCCCCAAGGACCAAATGAAACCATTTTCACGGACACCTGATCTAGTGGCCAGGGTAGGGCTAAAATCCAGCCTGCTGCATGCCCAGGGTGAGGTCGGCACTGATCCAGAGGAAGGGAAGCCTTGCTCCATTGTGCCAAACACAGCATGGAGTGGGGGTGCTGCGGACTTTTCCCTTCTTCCCAGCCCCAGCTGGTGCCCCACTCACTGGGCGTGCATCTGCCCATGTTTGGGGGAGCTGGGGAGTCCAGGGAGGGCTGTGGCATTGGGCACGGCTAATGGAGGAGATGAAAAAGGTCGGGAGGGTATAAAGGGGGAGGAGTCCTGCTCTTGCAGTCCCTGCCGCTGTCACCTGTCCAGTAAGGGAGGGCATCGCTTGCTGTGGCACAGACCAGCTTTGAGATGTTGATGGCCCAACTCCCGCACTGAGCCATCACCAACTCCCTTGGCTCGGACTCAACACCCTGACCCGCTGACAAGAGGAAATGACACCATCGGGTCCAGGTGCTCACTTCCCAGGGGATGCATTGTTTTTAAAGATGCAGGAGAAAAAGAACTAAAAGGAATGGATGTTCCTGGTGAAAGTTTTGGACACCAGGAATGCCTTCATAAGCGCTGGAAACTGGGTGCTTAAAGCTTTAGTCTGAAAGGTACGGTCTGAATAAACTGAAAAACCACGGAGGCCACTTACAAACCTTGTTGTTCCATTTGGACATTGTCCTAGCAATAAACTGGCAATGACTCTTAGGTCCAGGAGGTACAGGGATGGGCGTGTCCTATTTGGGACACGCCACGTCAGGTGAAATGAAAAGGGCTAATGAGTAGGTAGGTACCAACCTGGAGAAATCCTGCAAATGATGTGAAATCCAGAAAACAAGTGGAAGAGGAAATTTACAGGAGGTATCAATTATATAAATTTAAAATGTATAAAACACTGATACACACCATTATATGGACATGTTGTGTAGCAAAGGATTAAAATCCACAGCTCGAGGACTGTGATTGCTTAGGGGAGAAAGGGAACAAGACAGGATGGATAGTGGTCTGAGTAATGCTTTAAAGATAAAACAAACAAGTCCCACAAAATTGTAGTATGACAAAACATTACCATGTACCTTGATTCTGGCATACTTTGGCATTCTGCTAAAGAAATAAGACCCAAAGCTCTTCTAATGAAAGCTGGTGGTCATGAGGGGACCCAGGAACACAGTGGCTTTGATTCCTGAGGGTGGCAGGTGGCAGGCGGCATGGGTTTAGGGGTCAGAAGAAGTTTCAGCAGCAGAGTATGGGGGCCACTGGGCTGTCTTCCTCACCTGAGTAATTTAAAGCTGACTGATCCAGCTGTGCCACGGACACAGGACTTCTGGACACCTGGGCGAACGAGGCACTCTCATGCAGCTGGGCTGGCTCAGGGCCTACAGACTCGGCCATCCGGGTCTTGCTGCCGATGTCTGAGGTGGACCTGAGCAGAGCAGAGAGGCTCCATTAGCGTGGGCCCCAGACCATCATTTGGGAGTGGGCTGTTGCTTCTAAGCCTCACAAGGGTGGTATCTTCAGGACTGGACCCACCCTCAAATAACAAAGGGCCTTCTGGGGGCATCAGCAGGGCAAGAAGTGCCAAGACTAGCTGTGGCAGCAGTGGCGGCTTGAGCCGGAGTCATTTCTAGGTGTTCAAGGTCATTTCTGTCCTAAGGGTGGCTCAGTTTCTGGGTAGTAGATATTTAATTTTCGGGTATAAGAAGCAAAGCAATTAGTACTCGGTATCAGCTGGGAATGGTTGACCTAGTAGATGATGACATCATCTGCAGCCAATGAGAAGGCTCTGTCTGGAGTGTGGGGATGGGGAGATGCCCTGGAAGGCAGGGCTGGAGCGGGGCACATTAGTGGCCGCTACTACTAACAGGAAGCGAGAAGCCAAAGATTCTGTGAACCAGGCTGCTCTAGGATCTGGAGACCAGCACTCTTAGAGCATCATGAATGAGAGAACTGCTATCCTCTTTTGGTCCACAAGCAAGCAGAGAATAAGGCCCATTTATCAAAGAATCCTTGCACTTGGTGCTCAGAAGCTGCGTAAGAGGAGGGCGGCCCTGGTAGCAGGAACAGGCATCCCCACATACAAAGGGGGCCTTCACCCCCCAGACCAGACACGTCTTTCTGTAGGTGTCACCTTTCACCTGAGGCAGGATGTTGCAGAAGGCCCTCTGCCTCCCCGAAAATAAACCTGGGAGGGAGGGAGAGGCAGGTGCAGCAGAAAGAAGGCTGCCAGCTCACAGGGCCTCTCGGACCCAAAGCAGTGACTGTCATGGTTAGAGCAGAAGAGAGCCACACGAGGGAGAGGGAGGGAGGGGTCTGCTTTCATTGCCTCCCCTCCCCGAGCCTCAGTTTCCTCACCTAGGACCTAATGGGGTAGACAAGTTCACTTCAGAACTTCCTTCTTCATCTAATTCTCTGGGTTCGTCTGACCCTTGATGTCTGGTAAGGATGGCAGATGGTGCAGGAGGACAAGGGAGGAGACTGATGGTTGGGAGAACAATTAAAAAATAAAGTCTGGCATCTGAAAACCTGCCACAAAAGGCTGGTGTGCAGCCTTCTGAGCCAGAACGCCAGGTATGAATGAGGAGTCCCAGCTCTTCCCGAAAGCAGAGGCTGAGAGGATTTGGCTCTGTAGCAGGAGTGGAGCTGGTGGCTCTGTGTGGGGCCTCCCTCCCTCTCCCCTTCCCACGCCTGCTCCTACAGCCCTTGATTCCCACTGCAGTCCCAGGCCTTTACGATCGTTCAGAAGCTCCCTCCCAGGAGAATTGCTGGGTTCTGCTGCACACACTTTTCTGAGACCCCCACCTGAGGAATCCCAGAGCTCCTGAAATCATTTAGGCCACTGCTCTCATTTCACTGGATAGAGAATCAAATCGGGGGCCAGAGAGGCACGGCAGCTCACCCGGGGTTACACAGCAGATCCCTGGCAGGTTAGGGACGGGCACTCTGGTCACCTGCCTCGCCTTTTCTTTCCCTGGCATCAGAGGGTGCTGTCTGTGCAGCTGCACATTCTGAACCACCAGGGAAGCTCGTGTTTTTCATCATTTTCAAAAAATGCAGACCTGTGGTCCACAGGTGGAGTGCAGCTAACATGTTTGGGGAAGGCTGGGAAGGGATGGCCAGGGTCGGGGCTCATGTGTAACCAAGAGCACAGCTGATTTCTCGAACCCCGGACATCAGGCTTATCACAAACTTTCTGGGTCTTCATGGCTTTTATATTACTTGTCCATCTTTATTGAAGACATGTGTTTGCTTTATCACTACAGAGCAGAGACTGTAACATATGTCTCATATTAAGATATCTGAGTTCATGGATTTCAGTCTCTTCCTCTTAGAAGTTAAGACTTGGGGTGGGTGCTCACATGCACACCTTCCTGGCCTGTCAGATTCCCAACCTTAAATGACAAAGTATTTCTAGAGGTGCAATTATGGCAGAGGGCACCCAGACTGGTAGGAGCCACTGTAGTGTCCTGAGCTGGCATCATTTCTAGATGTTCAAGATCTGGGTATGAGGCTTTCAAGGCATGGGCCGGTGAGCCGTGGCTTTGTTGGCTATGGATTTTCAAGGACTTTTACTGAGAAAGGGTGGAGAGTCAGGGGACTCTCTGTGGTCCCTACAGGTGCCTATCCAGGTGATGTACCTTGAGTGGGGAGGGCTTGAAGGAAATTTTCTGGTACTACTGTCCTTAGGACCAAGTAGCACAGGGACAAACGTTTCAAATGTTCCAAACAAAGCAGAGAAAGGAAAGTTACCGTCTGAGAGAAGCAACAGCCACTGGCCCAGTCCGGGGAGGTATAGGAGGAGGCGGAGAGCCCATGACCATTTCAGGAAGCTGGGAAAACCTGTATGCCTGGGAAGGTGACAAGCAAATACAAGGAGGTATGTTAAAACCCAGCATCCACCAACACATAGGTTCATACATGAAGTGTGATCAAAACATACGGTGAATGTTTAAATTTGCAGACAAATTTAAGACCTATTGTCATTAACCACCCCCTACACACACAAGAACACTTCCCCTCGCTTCAGATAACGTCGCCCATCATTCTGGCCACTTCCTGCAGTCCTCTTTCATGTGTTTAGTTGCTCTGTCATGGCTGCCCCGACGTCCTGAATCAATTCAAAATGTTTTTCTTTCATGGTGACGCTGATTTTGGGGGAAGAGCCGGAAGTCACACAGCGGCAGATGACTAAGGTAGACGAGGACACGTGGCGACGATTTTATCCGCCTGCCTTTCTGGACGGCACTGGGCAGCAGCGCTCACTGGATTCTCGACCACACCTCGTCAAGACACTCACGAAAGAGGACTTGCAGCGCTGCTTCGGAAAGTGACGAGAATGATGGGCGAGCGTGTTCAGGGCAAGGGAGAGAGAGAGAGAGAGA